CTGGATTCATGTCTCAGCTCCATTTCTTGCTGCATGACGTTTTGATGGTTACTCAACCTCTAGATCTTGGATTCCTTGCTTGTACACTATGGATAATAATACCTACCTAAGCAGATCAATATGAAGAACCACTCAAAAGTGCTTTATAAATTTTAAAGTCCTGTTTCAATAAGTGTGTTTAATTATAAATTTTGATGTCTTCACAGTTTCACTTATGCTTTATTATCAGCATAACAAATACAGCCATTTTTTGTAATTATACTGATCGTGTTGATGACAGAAGTAACATAGATGGTGATTCTGGCATTGCCACCCAAACTATTTCACACAAATCAGGTGCTGGAAACTGGGGAGAGAAAAGAATCAGATATGGTCCTGCTCTGGGGTTCATTTAGGCAGAGAATTCAAATGATTAATTGCTGCTCGATATAATCACTTTCCCATCAAGTCCTCCCCGCTTTCTTCCTGGGAGAGAGTATAGCCTAGCATGGACTCTGAAGTCTGACTTATCTTTGACACTTACTAGCAAGTCACTTTACTTCTGAGCTTCAGTTTCCTCACTTATAAAATGGAGATAATACCGCCTACTTCTCAGGCTATAATAATGTAATTCCACAGCCTCCAACTAACCCAGTGAGCCTCCAGTGAATCCCAGAAGGAGGCCTCCCTATCTCATCTATTCACTCCTAACAAGTAATATTTAAGGAGCACCTATCACGTGCCAGACCTTTGAAGATCTGTAGTCTAAACCACCTCATGGTATAGATGGGAAAACTCAGGCACAGGATGGGGGCAAAGCTTACTGAATGCCACTCCACAGTAAAATCTGGACCAAGACCCAGGTCTCCTAAGTTGAAACTGAAGCTCAGGGATCTTTCTGCCGACCAGAGACCTCTGGTAAGAAGGGGTTTTCCAGTCTCAGTCCCCTTTCATCTCTGTAGTGATAATTCTGAGGTTTAAGTTAGGCTTCAGTGAGAACAAATAAAAATAGGACTAGCCAAGAATACTCCGGCCAGGTCAGATCCTAGCGGACAGGGTGGCTCTGTCTCAATGATCCAAGGCTGGATTTCCCAAGCGCAGATGGTCTTGCTCAACCTGTCCCCACAGTTGAGTCCTCCTCGGGAGCTCTCCTGTCTCCCAACCCCGCTCACCTGCACTGGACCCCGGCTCCTCCGTCTCTGTCGGGGCAGAGCTGGACGCCGGGGGTTCTTCCATGGGGCGCGGGGGCAAGTCCCCAGGTCTCATTCGCCGAAGCCTGAGAGAGGCACCGGCCCCAAGGCTGCGGAGACGGAGACAGAGGAGGATAGAGAGGGAGAAACAGCAGAGACGGAGGACACGGAGACAAAACCCGAGAAGCAAAGAGCAGGTCGACTGCCGGAAAGAGGTAATGGCAACGAAAGAGGCGGACGCAGGCTGTAGTCAGTGGTGGTTGGGGCCAACCGTTGGCCTCCTCCGCGAGCCCGCCCCGTCCCGCCCCCTCGGCGCTGCCCCTCCCTCCAGCCCACAGCCCGGTCCCCACCACCGCACGGGACCAGCACCACCTCTACCCTCGCCAGCTCGGCTTAAGCCCTGGGCCCACCTCAGTTCCCAACAGTCGCTTCCTCTCTTCAGTCCCACAGCCCCGAGCTCTTACATTGGTCTGCAGCTCGGTATCACCGCCTAAAACTTCCCCGGACAGCCTGAGAGTTGAGCAAAGGTTCCGGGCCTCAGAGGGTACCCTACAAAAAGGACCAGAGGTCCAGAGCATTGGCTATCTTTTTTGCAAAATATGAAAATGAAAATGTATTCATATGTATAATTTATGTGTGTATATACACACATTTACATACACAGATTTGTCACATAGCACTGAGTCCATTCTTCTGTTTCACAGTACCTGAATTTAAGCCCTCCTCTCCCCAACCAAGGAGGAAATGGCTGATCTAAGGTCATTTTTTATCTGGGACTAAATAACATAAAGGAAATAGGCTGGGCCTGGTGGCTCATGCCTGCAATCTCAGCGCTTTGGAAGGCCTACGTGGGAGGATGCCTTGAGCCCAGGAGTTGGAGGCTGTGGTGAGCTGTGATTGCACCACTGCACGCCAGGCTGGGTGACAGAGCGAGACCCTGTCTCTAAAATATAAACATTTTAAAAAGAAGAAATTTTACAAACACCAATAAAAGGAAAGACAGACTGCTAACTTAGAGGACATAAAAATGTAAAGCTTCCATAAATTTGAATTCGTGATATTTTTTCTCATTAAAAAAAAAAAAAAATCCTGTGCTGAGGCAGGGAACATACAAGATGAGTCTGGAACGTCGTGGTGCCATAGAGAAAGAACTCACAAAATGATGAGGGTTCTTTGAAAGAACACAGGAGCCAACCTCAATACAACCTGCTGTATTTTTCTAAAAAAAAAAAAAAAAAAAAAAAAGGCCTAGAACCAGAGGCCAACTCAATCGTAATAAGCCCAAATAATGGGTCTTAAACTACTATTTTGTCCCCAAAGGAACCAGGGTTCCATGGAAAAAATGGCTGATTTTAGGTGCAGGGAAGAAAATTTATAAGATTAGCCTAGAACATCTTGTCTTAACAGAAAGCAAGAAAGCCATAAAAGACTATTTCAGGTCATGTCAAAAGAAGATAAGAGTCCATTTGAAGGTAATTCCACTGGCCAAATATGGAAAAATTAGAACATCAAAAAGAACAAGGACTGCAAAGAAAGTTCATATTGACATATGAAGAAAAAAGTCACTTTGGTCACCTCAGAATTTGCTAAGGAAAGCAGCTTTTTATTCTGCCTTTCCTGTACAAACCATATTTCTGGGTAACTAAATAGTTGATGGGGAAAAGTTCTCCTTCATGAAATAATTAACTGACCAATGCCAAGTGAATGATAGAATTTTGTCATTTTTTCCTTTAATGACAAAATGAATTTAATGAATCTAGACAGCAATTATCAATAGCTACTAAGAGCTACACCCTTATTGCTCACCTTTTCTTCCCTTCCTACTTTCCCACCTCATTATGGCACTCCCTGCATCTCTCACATATACTACTGCCCTCAGATCCTGGTCTCAGAACTTGACTCTGGGAGAACGCAAATAAAGACCCTATACCAGGAGATAAGAACAACAAAACAGTAATGAGTTAAGGATCTAACTTAAGAATGTAGAAAAGGAAGAATAGAATAAATCCCAAAAAGGTAGAAAAGGAAATGATGAAAATAAGAACAGAATAAATGAAACAAGAAGCAAAGTACAATAGAGGGGACTGACAAAAGCAAATATTAGTTATCTAATATATCTAATAAAATGGACAAACCCTCTGGCAAGACTCATTTTTAAAAGTTATAAATGATATTAATGAAAAGGAGACTATAAGCAAGGATACAACAGAGATCAGAAAAATAATATTATACAAACTTTATTCATTAAGTTTGAAAATCTAGATAAAGTTAATATGGTTTTAGAAAAAGTCACCAAACTAAGATATAGAAAATGTGAAGTCTTACAACTAGTTAAAAATCTCAATCAGTATTTAAAAATCTGTTCACAAAGATAACACAACTATCCCAATTATTCCAATCTTGTATTTCCTTCATTAATAGAAGGAATGTAAATTGGTACAGTCACTTTAGAGGAAAATTTAGCAATACCTAGAAAAGTAAAAATGTATATCCTCTCCCACCAAAGAATCCCACTACCTGTATTAGATGTATCCACACAAGAATGTTCATAGCAGCAAATGTTTAATAGTGAAAAATTATAAAAGACCTAAATGTCCATTAATAGGGTAAATAAACTGTCATGTTTAACAGTATACAGCAGTGAAATAGAATGAATTGTAGCTACAGGTATCAATCTAAATTACCTTCACAAACACAATATTGAACAAAAAAGCAAGTTGCACAATACAGAGAGAATGGTACTTGTGCAGATTTACCATAGGAGGCCTAACAGTGCTATCCTTAGAAAGGCTTGCTTGCAATTGGTGTTTTTTGACTGGTGTCTGGAAACCTGGCTCTCAAAGTGTTCCCAGTCACCAGTCAAGTGAAAACAGTAGTTGACTATGCAGACTGTTTGAATGCAGTATGATTTATGCTGGAAACCTGCTTGCTTTCTAGGGGTCTTTATTATGTGCTAGGCAGATGGTGTCCACATGACCAAACCTCAATAATCTGTGGGTACTCTCTAATGGGCTCCCTGGACAGAAACATTGCACACGTGTTGCTGCATTTTTGTTGCTGGGGCAATGTGGGCTCTTTGTAATCCCTCATGGGAGGAAGAGCACAAGGAACCTGTAAATGGATTCCTCCAGACTCTGCCGGTGTCCTTTTCCCTTATGATCCAGATATATGTCCTTATTACATCGAGGAATAAATCTTAGTCATATATGCTGAGTCCCATGGGTCCTTCTAGCAAATATCTGAACACAGGGGTGGTTTGGGAGACTCTCAATCAAAAACCACATATAAAGTTTAAAAACAGGTAAAACAATAACCATATATATCATATAAGAGCTCCCAAGGAGGTAAAAATAAAATTTAAAAATCACCATGTCTCTACATATCTGTATATATCCATATATATAATGGACACATAGGTATGAAGAAAATGCTTAGGAATAATAAATACCAAATTCCAGGTAGTAGTTACTTCTGAAGGTGCAGGAAGTAAGATGTGATTAAGGATACCCAGAGGACTTCAATTCTATTGGTAATATATGTATTTCTAATGCAGTAGGTTCACAAGTATTCATCTTATTATTCTTTAAGACTTATTTGTCTGAAACACTTCCTTTATAAAAACTGGGTCACTCAAGTCCTGGGGTTCTTTTTCTTTTTTTTGAGACAGAGTCTTGCTCTGTCGCCCAGGCCGGAGTGCAGTGGCTTAATCTTCTCTCACTGCAAGCTCTGCCTCCTGGGTTCACGCCATTCTCCTGCCTCAGCCTCCCGAGTAGCTGGGACTACTGGTGCCCACCACCACGCCCAGCTAATTTTTTTGTATTTTTTTAGTAGAGACGGGGTTTCACTGTATTAGCCAGGATGGTCGCGATCTCCTGACCTTGTGATCCGCCCGCCTCGGCCTCCCAAAGTGCTGGGATTACAGGCGTGAGCCACCGTGCCCGGCCATCGTGGGGTTCTTTATCAGACTTCTTCAAGTTCACAATCACCAACTCTGTGGATCTCAAATTTTATAGACCCAAAGCTAATACCAAATCTTTCTAAATTCTTTGAGGTAAATTCAGATGGTCTCATCTTATGCCTGAGACAGTGAAGTTAAGGAGCAATTTCTGTATTTGGAGGTAGAGAATCCTGGCTCCAATCCTCTCTTCCCACTTCCTAGCTGAGTGATCTTGGCAACTTATTAAACTGCTGTGCCTCAGATTCCTCATCTGTAAAATGGCCCAAGTCCTCATTCATGGCTCAGTTTTCACTTCCTGTATGAAGACCTCCCAGACCTCCATACTAGAACAAATACTCCTCTTCAAGCCCCCATAGCACTTTGCACCTCCTTCTATTGTGTTGAAATTGTCTAAGTGTCTGACACTCTCAGCAGACTGTGAGCAACTAAAGTGAGGGGATCAGGCCTGGCACAGGTGTTAGCAGAGCAGAATTATGTAAAAGTTTGAAGGAAGAGGGATGCAGAAGGGTACTGAGAAGTAATGTGATCAAGTAAGACGGCACAGGAGTATCGGGGGAACTTCCTGTTACAGAAGTTAGGGAGCTTCCAAGATATGGGACAGGCAGAAGTAGGAGTGGGGCTGTCAAGAATTGTGAAGAGTCTGAGATTTTTATCTTACCTGCAAGCTAATAAGGTAGCCTGTTACTACCTGTAATAAGGATAGTTTGTTACTTACAGCAATAGTGGTAGCCAGAGTACCAGCATTTGTGCCAGTTCTGAGCTCCAGTTCCCATATGACGACGCAGAGAGCCAGATGATACCTGCACATGCAATGGAGTGCATTAAAGGAGAGGAACTTTGAGCGTAGGGAACCTGAATCTTCAATAATGGGCAGTGGGCATGGACACCTTTTGCTCTGATACCTCCTAAGGTTGTTTGCTACATAAACATTCCTGGACAAATAGTCTGGAACAAAGATAGTCAGTGTCTCTCTTTGCAAAATATGCAGAAATGCTAGAGACCCATGAAAATTGTCTCCCAACAAGATGTACCTTTCATTTCTGTGCCATCTCGGCTTTTGATGAATTCTCCCATGAGTATGCCACTCCACCTGTCACTCTGATTAAACTGACAGAAACTGGAACCAGGTCCATTCAAAGTCTTTTATAACATTTAATTAAAGATACTATCAACAGAACGCCATGTAACAGGATAAGACCAATCAGTATTGACTTCAGTCATATCCAAGGGCCTGTATCCAAGAAGGTGGGGAAAAAAAATCAACAAGCCATCAGGATCTACGTTAGAAAGTCAAGTGGCATTCTCGAGTTTCTGTATTGACCATGTACTTGGTCTGAGACATTAATCCAGTCACAGTGGGATGTATTAGTGATTGCACTGACTCCACTTTGGCCCACAGAGAGAAAGAGCAATTCTGTCACCCATAACCACCCTGGCCAATGAGTTGAGGCTGATTTAAGTGCCATCCAGAGCTGAGGTGGTGTCACTGATGACTGCAACTAAAGTCAAGAACAAATTCCTTATCAACATTTCCAATAGGATGACTCTCAAGATAGTGATACTGTTGGGAGAGGCAATCTGCCACGAGCCCTGAGTGTTCCTGCATGTATGTTCTTCCTT